GCCTCAAACCACAACAGCATGGAAGTACCCTACAGTTCTCTGCCAGCTAACAAAGCAGACAGGTTTTTTCATGGTGTGCACTTTTTAAACAAAATTCTCATTTTCAAGAGGCATTTTTCTTTTTGCTCAGCTCTAAAGCAGAAGAGTTGGAGGTGAACTAAGACCCATATGGTATATAGCAGCCACAGCCTCTAGGTCACAGGACACATCCTCATATCAGACACCAACTGCCAGATCTCAGTAAATATGAATGCTACAAAGTGGGCCAGAAAGAAAGAACAAAATCCTCACATTTTGTTACCACTGGAGGCAGATAGAGACTGAACAGGGAAAGTAAAGCTGATGATAATTTTCCCCTTAAAGGAAATGAAATATGCTCTAGAGATTGAAGTTATGCAGAAAACTGCCATGCTGTTCACCAAAAAAAGCTGTTAGCACTGGTCTACAGCCTGGCATTTACAGATCATCATAAGCTTTAAAGACGTACTAAATTCACCACAGACCAGAAATTTTTTCCTGAAATTGATGTTTAACATCAATTTTAAGCTTTTATATTAATTAAGAAGAAGTAAAAAAAAATTCACCAGATTGTATAGTTAATAGTAAAAGTCTGACTGGAAGTTCTTACTTGGTCTCACTGAAAAGTTCTCCATCAGTACCAAAGGCAATATCAAGGGGAGGCAGAAGTGTCTGCATTGAAAAAGCCACACGGCACAACTCTCGAATCAAAGTCCTGATCACAATGAAGTCAATTTCTGGTGGAAATGAAATCTTTGGGTTGATGTTCATGGAGTGAATTACTTCCTGAAAATAAATACAATTGAGTAATTTGAGCTCACTAGCACTTACTTACATGCAAGTATGACAGTCCCTCCTAAATACGCCTCTCAGTTTTTTATATTTAAAAAAAAAATAAGTCGGTATAAGCTCTCAGCAATCTTGTCTTAGGCTGTTCCAGAATACATTAGCTTCAGAAAATGTGCCGTTATTTTGGAAATGAAGTATGAGCTGCATTTCTGGCACCAATCGTATAAAGGAGATGCAGTTTTTCAGTAGAGCACAGCATTTAAGAAAAATACAAAATTTAGCTTACATTTATTTGACTAAGATAGTTACAATGTACCTTGTCAAAAAGATTTTATTCTAGCAGACAGAGACATTCTAGTCACAGGCAAATAAAACAAGTGATCACTGACCCACACCACAATATTATTTTAGAAAATAATGTGCTCCAAGACAAAATCCGTGCAATTCACCTTTTTCCCTTCTTCAGGCTACAGTGTATTTCTAGTTCACACACTTTGAATTCAGCAGCTGCTGAAACAGATCAACGTGCCACTTCCCCACTGCCCTTGGCTTACATTGACACTGGCTTGCACATCATAAAGATCCTCATGGCGAACTATATAATCCAGGACAGCATCTTCCAGTGACTCGGGCCCCGAGTGACCTAGAGACAGAGTGTCTCTTACACGTAACTTGAACTGCCTGTAGGCCATCTTTGCTGCATGAAAAGACTCCTGAAAACAAAGAACACCTAGTTAGATACCAAAGAGTGAGATTAATTTTTTTATCAATTGTCTGAGAGGGTAAACTTAACCCAGTATCGTCATTGTAAGGAGGAATATAAAACACTGCTTTAGAACTGAAAGTTAAAAACAGTACTCATCTGGAAGGACTTTTCTGATTAAATCCAGTGATCTATTTGCAGAAGACAGTATTCAAAAGCTTCCCACCTAACCTTCTATTTTTATGCCGGATTCCATCACCCACCCATGATCAATGGAATCCCATTTAAAGCTATCAACAGCAGAATTCAATAACATCATTTTATGTGCCACAGCCTAACATGTCAGACAGGACCACATCTTGTCTGTTGGGAAGAGAGTGTAAACTGAATGACAGTCGTGGGAAAATTAACTTCAGTAAGTGAAATGCGCTTGGGATCACATACGTTAGACACACACTGCCTCTCTGACACAGATATACACTATTTCATAGGAAATAAGATTAAGCACAGAAAAATAAAAACTAATTCCTTCAGACTGAGCTCATAGTAAATGTGAGGTATGTAGGGAATTTCAAGGGACTCAATAAAAACTAGAAAAGCACATGGCTACAGGCAAGAAGGAAGCATGATACGGAAAGATTTTTAGCTTTGTAAAATGTAGTATTCCCAACAGAATTCATCTAAATGAGGTAGTGTTGTTTAGTCCAAGAATCATCTACCTTTTGGGCCCATTCAGTCTTCTTATGTGCCACTTTTAGCACCTGTACTATAGATCACTGACCCTCTTCTAATGTCAAACACTCAACTGAGAGTTCAATGTAAAAGTGTGAAAGAAAGAAAGGAAAATCAGAAGGGCTAAAAAAAAAAAAAAGGTAAGTTTTCCTCTCCATGCTTCATAGAAATGCTAACTTCCATACAACTTAATCCAATCCAGCTATAATATTTTATAAAACACTTCTGACCCGTAAACTGAGAGGAAAGCTTTTTCTCACCACAGCTGCAATGTATATTATCCTCTGCACCATCTCGGCGTCACTGATGTACGTCCTCAGCAGGGCCTCTGCATCCAGGCGCTCCTGGGCGCCGATGGCGCTGAAGCGAGCCACCAGGCAGGCGCGGCGGGAGGCGTT